CCTGCACTGATGGCCTCTGAGAAATAAACATCTCCTTTCAGTCCAGAAATTTAACCAAAAAAAAAAAAAAAAAAAAGTGTTTCAGTCCAGAATTAAACACTGGATTTTCTTCATGCTCCACCTCACTCTTGTAATTTTTAATATCTCAGTGATCTGCTGCTTGATATAGTTGGTGTCTTCCTGCAAAACCTTAAGAGGGGCCTCCTTTGTTACGGTGATAATTAATGGAGTGTTTGCATTACTCAGTAATCCCAAATGGCTGGGCATAGGATCAAGAACCTGTCCTTATTTACTCAGTTCTTTGAGGGCTTTTATTCTAAATGTGCAGGTTCTCACCTCAGCTGCAGCTCGAGACATGAATAGATTAGGGGTAAATGAGGTGTTGACATAAGTGGAATTGAAAAACTATAATTGAGACAGAAGTGGAATTTAAAGGAATAGTTTTCAGCTTGTCCAGAAGTTTGTGTGCTTTTCTTGCTTTGAAATCAGGATATAAATCTCATTGGGTTTGAAATGAAAAGAGCATCTCCTAATTTTGAAGACATTTTGCTTTGTGGCACCTCTGTAAGGCAGGATGGAGGTTGGGGATTTCCAGGTGACAAAGGGTGACAGGAAACCACACAGCGTTCCTGGATGGGGAGAAATTGTTGAATACATATTTTTAGGTAAGTGTCCTTGTTTATAACCCCTTCATTTCTGCAGTGAGGTCTCTACTTGGGAGCAGAGAAATAAGTGAAAATTAAGCAAAGCTGCATCCTATACTGTTAATTGTCCTTCTCAACTAAAGTTTTCCACCCCTCCTGGAGTCATCTATCAATATTTCAAGTTGTTATTGGGTTTAGGATTGGGTTTTCTTTGTTCTTTAATATTTTGTTAGCAATGGGAGTATCACTGAACTGACAACAAATACAAAGTGCGCTCAGCAAGAAAGATGTGTCCGAGGCTGACATTAAAATCCCTTTTATTTCTGTCCTTGGGAAAGAAGAGTGGGAAAGGTCTCCAGAAATGCTTCACTGCAATGAAGGGAGAGATTCTGATGAGGGAAAAGCTCCACGCTGTGCATGCCAGCAGCATTCCTGGCTCGGGGCTGCTCCCGTGGCCCCGGCAGGATTAGTCAGAATCCCGGGTGGGTGATTTATGGAGATTGCACCACTCGGACGCCGTGTGCCACGGCGCTCTCACCGGATGCACAGTCACACAAAAACATTGTTCAAACGCTCAACCAAGCCTTGTCACGGGCCCAAACTCCCAGTTAGGGTCTGACTGGAGCCCCAGCTGTGCTGGGGAGTGATTTCCCTGCCTGGCCAGCCCCGAGAGCCGAGCTCCAGCTGCGTTTCTGGGACAGAGCTGTCCCTTGCTGCCCCAGGAGTGCCACGCGGAGGTGGCGGAGGAGGATGAGGAAGCCAGAGGAGCTCGGGGATCATTTCAGAGCAGGGCCTGGCTAAACCCTGCCAATGTGATTTGGCCTGTGGCCACGCAGCAGCTCGGGATGACCTTAAAAAGCAGTGGAAGTGTGGTTAGCATGTGCTGCTGGAAGGGCAGAGGGAGGCTGCGGTGCTGACTCACGGCCGGGAGCTGCGTGGGGAGGGAAGGTGGGTGTTGGGTTATTCATCGGCAGCCAGGCCGGGCTGGCACGGCCTGTCCCTGCTCTCCTGCAGGCACCCACACGTCCCCAGTGCTGCTGTGTCAGGGCCCGTGGTTCTGGGTGTTTCTGTGCAATTGGGGCGCATTCAGCTGGAATGGAGACCAGGCTCGGGAGGTGCCGCTTGGTGTGTGAGCGGTGCCGTGGAGCTCCTTGTACCCACAGGAAGGAGAACAATCCCGTTTTAAAGTGGCTCGGCCAAAACTGGAGCTGGTTATGGATTCCTCCGGTAATTATTCAAATAAACAACAGCACTTGGGTTTGCCACGGGATGAGACAGATGCCAGGAGCATCTCCAGGTACTTCTCCAGCAGCACCAGGCATGACCCTACAGGGGACATCAGGAGAGAGAGTGAGGACTGCATCAAAACTCATTAAATCATTAGAAAATCATTAATATTTGTGGGCTTATCTCTGCTCTCGGAGCTCAAGGACACTTGAATAAAATTCTCATGGCTGGGAGTGAAAAATGAATATAGAATTTTAACGAGGGATCTTCATGGGCATTTCCATTTGTACAGAATGGTTGTGCTTTGGAGGAAAGACTCCAAACTAAAATAAACAGCTCACATTTTAAATAAAGCTTCTAAAAGCGTGTGCTGGGTATTTAGGGCATGGTTTAGGTTCTGATTTTGGTATGGGGAGGGTTGGAGGTCTTTGTGGGGACAGGCCAGGGCTGCCCCATGCCCAGCACAGCCTTTTCAGCCTCCTCAGAGCAGGACACTGCTGGAGTTACCACAGGGGTGCCTCAGTGAAAAACAGGAATTAAAAAGAGCCAAAATGTCAGCCAGGCAATGAGGATGAGGAGAAAAAGGTGAGGAAGCAGCCCTGCAGACACCCAGGTCAGCAAAGGAGGAGGAGGAGCAGAGATTTTGCTGCAGCCTGGGCAGAGGAGCACAGCAGAGCAGGGACCCTGCAGGGACCCCAGGCTGCAGCAGGGAAGTATTTGGTGTTTCCTGACAGGAACTGTGGCCTGTGGAGGACCCACACTGGAACAGGTGTAAAATGGAAGGAGAGAAGATGTCAGGGAGGAGGTGTGGGCTGACCATCACCATCACCCTCCATCCCCTGGCTGCCTGTGCTCTGCAGGGCTCGGGGGGAGCAGAGGAGCCAGGAGTGAAGCTGAGCCTGTAAATACAGGGGTGGGGTAGACAAAGATCTTTTAATTCCTCTTTCTCAACCTATCTTGATCAGCAATACATTTTTTTTAATATCTGTTTTTCCAACGGCTGCAGTTGCTAAGAGATCTCCATTATCTCAACCTACACATTTTCCATCTTGTGTTCTTCCCCTGCCCTGTTGAGGAGGGGGAGGGTTTTTTTTCCGTCTCCTGCCATGTAACCAGAATTTCTTGAGGAAGAACTGATATATCAGCGTTTTCCTCAGAAGAACCAGCCCTGCCCACGGCCCTGGCAGCTGCTGCTCCTCCCCAAGAGCCTGGGAGGTCTGTGGGGAACACAGCTGGAAGCCTGGGGAGCCCCACTACAAACACTAATTCTGGAGGAGAATATATTGTTACCTTGGGCTAATAGTTTGAAACCACATCATCCTGATCACACACCTGCCCAGGTAATCACCATGGTGACATCCAAACAAACAGTAACCTTAAAATGATCAGCCCGAGGAAAACGAGGAGCTGGGCTGCAGTTTTGGAGGGTATTTAAGATTATGCTGGTGTGGTTAAATATGAGCTTGTTCAGCAGTGAAGTGACCAAAAGGCACAGAACTGTGCAGGGCTCTGTGCCTGAACCAGCACAAGCCAAATCTCTGCAGACCTCATTAGTTTGGACAAAAGGAGCAGAGATATCAAGATGATCAGAGACATGGAGAACCTCTCTTGTGGGAAAAGGCTGAGATAATTGGGATTGTTCAGCCTGGAGAAGAGACCAGGAGTGACCTAATTGTGGCCTTCCCATTCCTTGAGGGAGCCAAAAGAGAAAGAGCAAGAGACTATTGACAGCAGCCTGGAGTGACAGGACACAGGGAATAGCTGACAACTGACAGAGGGCAGGGATGGATGGGATATTGGGAATAAATCTTTCCTGTGAGGTAGGCAGGCCCTGGCACGGGTGTCCAGGGAAGCTGTGACTGCTCTGGATCCCTGGAAATGTCCAAGGCCAGGTTGGAGCAGCCTGGGACAGTGGGAGGTGTCCCTGCCCATGGCAGGGGTTGGAATGGGATGAGATTTAAGGTCCCTCCCAACCCTTCCAGCCTGTGCTTCCATGAAAAGCCCATACCTGCAGCAGCTCTGTCTGACCTGAACACAGGCAGAACAAACTCCTGTCACTGTGACAGCACATCCCCACTGAATCAGGAGCTGTGGTTCACTGGCATCACCAGTCCCTGAGGCTCCCTGGTGTCCTGCCTGCCCAGCATCCACTGGGCAGGGAACAACTCCCTAACTGTGTGTATACATTCTTTTCCCCCAAACTCATGCAGGCAGCTGACTGAGCTGCTTATAAGAATCATTTGGCTTAAAGAGGAAAAGAGTAAACAGGATTAAATGGGTATTAAAATGAGTCTGGAGGAAGGAAAAGGGCACAGGCACCCATATATCTCACTCTGTGGTATCTGCATCAACAAAGCCAGGAAAGCAGCTGCTGGGATTGTTTTGGGGAGCTCTGGAGTGATGATGTTTCTGCAGGAAAATGTGCAGTTAGATCCTGCTGGGATAGGAGCAGCAGCTGCCGGGAGCTCAGGCTCCACATGCAAACCAGCTGAGCTCTGTCTGTCCCATGGAGGGGGGAATACCAGGCTCTTGGACTGCTTTCACTGCTGGAAGGGTCTGCAAGAATTAACGAGTTCACAGTTCAGGAATGCTCCCAAGAAACCACAACAAGGGAATCTGAGCAACTGCAGACATGGAAAGTCTGTGAAGCACAACCCGAGCTCCCCGTGGAGGAGCAGAGAACAGAAGGGAGGTGAGGATGACCCAAAGAAGGAAAACCCCTGGGATTTCTGACACAGTCCCCTGAGGGCTCTTAAAGCTCAGGTTGCTTCATCTGGAGAACATGGGACCTCCTGGTGGCATCAAGTGGGCCAGGTCTTGTAGCCCTGGAAAGGAGTATTAACCCTTTAGATGCGGTGGAAATAAAATGCACAGCTACATGGTCTTTCTTCATGATAGAAAAGAAAGAGCCAAGTTTATTCAGAAACACACTTGGTTTTATAGCATGATTTGCAACTCCAAGAGTAGAGAAAAGGTGATTGGTTCAGAGAGAAGACACCCCATTGCCAGGGCCTGGGCACACACCACAACAGGGGTTCTATCTTGTTATTAATTCCTTTTTATTTGAACCAAATTATCACCCTGGGAGAAATTCTCCCTAGCCTTGAGCTGGACCAGCTCATGGGCTGGGAACAGAGCTGAAAAGCTCCAGCCTGGAATATTTTTCAGGCTGTAATTCTCTTGCTTTCTCGATATGTGTGCCCACAAGGTCTTGCTCCTCCAGCCCTGCTTTAGGTATCCATGAGCTGTGCTGGGTGTGCTGGGTGTGGAGGCAGCACTGCAATGGCTCTGGTGGCTCCCAGGTCACTGGTGGCCTTCAAACACACATGGCAAGGACAATTGTCACAGACCTGTGACTCATGAAAGAAAAACAACACCAAAGCCAACAAAAATAGAGAGAAAAGAGGAAAACTCTGCCTTTAGAACTGTCAGTTTAACCTGGTGTTAATGGTGTCCCCTCCATCCATCTCACAAAGTCGATAGGGGTTATTTTGGATAGGAGCTATAAAAAGTGATTAGTAATTAGAATAATGTTTCTGATGATACAGATGCTAAAAATCCTGCTCTGAGCATTGATTATAACATTTCACTTACTTTTATTCTAAAATGATGCCCCAAACTGGTACAGTTGATACAGGTGCAGGCCTATACAAAATAAAGCATTCTGTGGAAATCAAAGAAAAAAAAAACCAGAGATTTTTATACATAATAGGAATGGTGTAATTTTTCCAATATGTAAAGATAAAAGATAGACCAAGCAACAAAAAGCAGCAGCATAAAAGATTTGCAGATATGATTTTAATACCAGCCTCACATAGCTTTGATTAATTTTTTCCAGTCAGACGTTCCTAACGGAAAATTACAATATAGCATCAAACAGCTCAGAGTAAATGAATGTGAGGAGTAATTCTGAAGTGACAAGCACATGTTAGTAAAGCATGGTAACAATTAGCAATTGCAAAAATTGTAGAAATACTTTTTCTAATGCTTTTTGGCCTAGTGCTGTAAGCTCCTGTGAAGGACAGAATCTTTCAGATGGGTCATGGGGAAAAATTCTCACTTGGCACCAGATATTGCTTTGGGTTATAAAATAGTAAACTCTGGGTTATAAAATAGTAAACTCTGTGTAATAAAATAGCAAACTCTCACTGAGAGTTGTATTTCCACCATGGGTTTCAACAAGGGCTGTACCAGCTTGGACAATCTTGTTTTCCCAGCCCTCTTTCCCCAGCATTCCCAATTCCCATTCTGAGCTCTCCAGAGCAGCTCTGGATCTGCAGAGCTCCCTGGGGTCTGCAAACCCTGCAGGAGGTTCTTGTTCCTGCTCACCAGGTGCTGCTGTGTGGCTGAACACTTTCACAGCCCTGGGTATGTCCACACCAGTGCCCTCAGAGCCTGATTCTTTTAGGGAAATGCATTCTGCACATTCCTGATTGTCTGACTCACAGCCCTGGTGCCAGCACTCCTCATTTCTATTTATTCACCATGGGAAGCCTAAAGTGCAAATGCATTGGATGAGAGCCTGGCTCCAGAGGAGTCAAGGACAGAATTCCCATTGATGTCTGTGGGCAGAGAACCTCACTTTTGTGCTTTTGGTTGTTCTTTACCATTGCTGGCTCAGGGCTAAAGGGACATTTGAAAAGGCTCAGTTGCCCAGAGTGATGCTGAGTTCCAGAGGCACTTCCAAACACAGCCCATGTGCACAAGAATCATCTGTTTGCACCCTGGAGGTTTTGTGGCTCCTGAACTGAGGCACATTCGAAGGAGGGCACACCAAAGGTTTTTTCCACACGCTCAGACTGTGTTTGAAGTTGTCCCTCAGGCCAGGCCAGAGCAGGGGATAAAGGCACTTGTGGCTGGTCCAGGTGTTGTTCAGCTTTTGGAAACACACAGAGTTTGGTCACAAGGATGGGATGGAGCTTTTGCCCACCTGTCCCACCAGGCCCAAACCACGATTTTGATGGTTCCCACAGCCTCTGGGTGGTAAAAGCTGTCCAGCACAGAATCACAGAGTGGTTTGGGTTGGAAAGGACCTGAAAGATCCTCTAATTGCCACCTCTTCACCATGAAAGGGATCCATTTCAGCAGAATTAATGTGACTCTAATTTATGCTGCAGTACCTAATTTTATTTCTTCTCTACAGAAGTGCAAAGAATTCTTTTGGATTTTACACTAGCTAGGGAGAGAGACTTGGCTGTAGCTTTATTAACACACTGTAAGGGCTCACTGTGTGCTCCATCAAGTACAAATTCTGATGAAGAACCTTTAAGAAAAACAAGAATTACACAAAAAATAATCCTAAAAAACAGCTAAACTCAGAGCAAACCAAGCACTTAGGAGCATAAAATTTCCAGAAAAGAAAAACCAAAAACAAATACCTCCAAGTACTTCACATCTGAGTTGAGGAAAGTCCGTTGGTTAAAAAAAATAAACCCTGACAGCTCCCCAAGGCTCAATTAATCATTTGCTTTTAACAACAGCGACTCAGAGGCAGCCTCAAAAGCAGAGCAGGAGAAATGAAATGGGCCTTTGTCTGGGGCTGAACTTGGTGCCCTTGCCAGGACACAAACAGTTCATCTGGGGAGAGAAACCCACTGGCCCACTTGGCATCCTGCAGCTGCTGGCATGTGCTGAACAGGGCAGTAGGTGGTCTGGCACAGCCCTCCTGGACGTGCTTTCTCACCAGGTCCTTTCTCCTGCAGGCAGGAAAAAACAGCTCCACAAAAAGGGCTTTTCCATGGGATTTGTAAATTGGTTTGTGGTACTCGGGGTTCTCTATGAAATATGAATTCTGTAGGGCTGTCCTGGTTGTTAGAGCTGTTAGAGTTGTTTCATGCTACCCCATAGAATTGCTTTGGAAGCCTGTTGGTTTTGTCTCAGGGATGTACACAACCATTTCAGCAGAGAAATTGCAAGCAAAACACAATTTGTGTGTTCAGAAATCATTACAATTGTCAGGTGAAATAACGTGGCTGAAACTTTCAGATGAAGTGATGAATCTCAGTGCTTCTCTCTGCCTTAGTGCCTGACTCTTGGCTCTGAGGGCTGGGACAATTTCCACTTTCTTACTTCAGATCTACTGGGGAGTTGATTGTGCTGATAGTTACAGGTGTATTTTAATACTTTATTGTTTGTTTATCATTATCATTATCATTATCACTACCATTATTATTATTGATGCTGCTGTTGCTGCAGGAATACATTCATCTTTATATAAATGATGCCTGACTTGCACTAAACTCTACATTCAGGTTTTAATTGGGGAGTCAAATGGGAAAAGGAAGGAAGAAGAAGAAAATTCAGGACATACTGGCTCAATTTGACAAGGTTTTCTGTCAGTTTAGTGTTTTCTCTTAGAGCTCTCTGTTCAGGGCGTGTGGAGGGGATGCCAGGCTGTGACTTCTGAGGTTGAGACAGGGGCACATTATTGATTTTTATAGCCTCGGTAGAATTATTGCTTAGCACCTTACTCAGAAAAAAAGAGACTCAAGGTGGAAGATTGTCTTCCACTGATGTTTATTCTGGTGTGGTTTTGTTCATTTTCCTCCAACAGCTTAAATTGGTGCCTTTTCCATGAAATACAGAGGATTTATATGTGCTGAGGGCCTCAGAAATGAGCAACTCCTTATAGAGGTGCAGTCCTATTTAGTTTGATAGAATTGTCCCAGATTTTTATTTTAAAAAATTGAATTTACTTCAGTTCAATAAAAAGGGCATAGGTTATATCCACCCTTCCTCTGTCATCTCAACTGTTTGGTTCTCTTCTTACAGGGGTGGTTCCCATCAGTGCCAAAGTTGAGAAAAGCCCTTCCCAGCGTGAGCTACATGAGCTCTCCTGTGGCATAAAGAAATGAGATTTTAGACATCAAATGAGTTTTGGTGGGAAAAGTGTCAATAACAACAAAGTGAAACAGGATTTGGAAGCTGTTTGAGATGCCCAAATTCAACCAACATCCCACTTCAATGTGCCTAAACCTTAGTTTTCCTTTGCCTTGTACACTTAGTGAAGTTGCCTTTTTCCATGAGGAATGTTGGGAGTTTACTCTCTTGGGAGCTGTCAGTGCAGGAAAGGGATTCCTAAAATATATATGAACAACAGCTTTCCATTCAGTCTGTTCTGTCTTCCAAATCAAGAAGTTGAATATGGAAGAACATTGAGAAGCTGAATCTGTACAGCAAGATGGAAAAAATTAATTAGATTGTTTTTTCTTTTTTAGCAGTAGTGAGTGCAGAGAGTCAGTTTTTATCTCACTGTCAAGCACAGTTGTCTCCATGAAATCTGAAGGCCCTGCCTTTAAACCATTGAAGATTTCAGCAGTTCCACCAGCACATGAAAAGTCAAGTCAGCAGAGTGGTTTTGGACTCCCACTCCTTTTCCAGCTAAATGTGCCCACTTTGTTGGTTTGGATTGGCCTCCTGAATGACCCAACGTTTGCATCCATCACTGCCTCCTTTTCCATTTCTGAATTTCTGCCTGCCTGGTTTTTGTACCAGTCGATAAGACATTTTATTGCCTAGGAATCTGTTCCTCGGGAGGGGATAAAAAAAAAGTCACTCTTTTCCAAACAATTGTCAAGAGCTCCTAAGCCTTTTGGAGCATCACACAAAAGCAGCTTAATCCTGCTCTCTGCAAATGTCACTTTGCCTTGATCCCTCTGAGCAGGCATTTGTGAGGTTGTTGCTCTGACACTCGCAGCAGCCGTGCCCTGTGTCACCACCCAGTGCCAGCCATCACACAGGGAGCTGTGGGGGTAACAAAAACACACCCAGGATGGAATGGCTTAAGCCCTGTCTGAGGGATGCAGGGCCATAATTCCAGGGCACTCCTTGGTTTGTCTCTGTTTGCTTCTGCTGGAGCCTTTGAGACTGAATTAGGTCATGGATCTGTAGGGGGGGTGGAATTTGCTGTGTAGAGCAGAAAAAAATTGAGCTGAGTGTAGCTGGAGCTTGATGCCTTCATAAGGATTTACTGAAAGTGGTTTTGTAGTGTGACCTTGTCCAGAGAGGCAGAGCCTGCCCAGGGAAAGGGAGTTTGTGGCTGCCTGGCTGCTGGGGCAGAGAAGGGGACAGAGGAGCCCAGGGCTGGGCAATCAGGGTGAAACTACTGCTGTTCATTTTCCTTTTATTGCCTGTAAGGTCTCTTGTGGACATTCTGGTGTCTCCATGAGTCTCAGCTCATGTGCTTCCAAACTGGGCTGAGGGAGCCTGCTGGTG